CTCCTCCTGCCCTCGTTGTCTGGGGTCCACTGCCTCCTCCTGCCCCCGTTGTCTGGGGTACACTGCCTCCTCCTGACCGTGTTGGAGCAGGATATGGTGTCCCCAATGGTGATGTGGTTGAGACCACAGGCGGTTGATGAGCGGGAGAGCGCTGAGAGGATGGCGGATGAGCACCAAATTTCGCTTGGGGCATACGACCAGCGCTGGCAACTTTGGAGGTTGCCGCGGCTGCCCTTGATCCTCCAAGGTCGGACACGAGACCAGCTCCAAACTTCGCGAAAGGGTCCTGAGGACCCGATTGCTTCGAGTTCTTCATCCGGCTAATCCACTCGAATTACCCAACCCTACCCTTCCCTTCCTTTCATGCACTTGCCTGTCAGACACTCTGCATCAGAACCACGCGGATAAGAAATTGACGTAAGAAATGTCTGAGTCAAACATGAAAAAACATGCAAGGTGGTGTGTTCCACCACAACCAACAGGCTGACCTGCTGCTTCCATCCCCTTCTTCCACCCTCGCGTTTTGGACCGTTCAGCCATAGCTGTTGCCAGCCACGTCTTTTGAGTTCAATGATGCTCAGGTGGGCTTGCCCTCAGCAGAAGTCTCAGGGGTGCCATGCGCGGTCATGGAATACATGGATCGCGGATCTAGGACTTCTTTTTATTAAAAAAAAAGCAACAATTTAGGCAACGCAAATTACGTATCCCATCTCCCTGCGCTCTTGATGAATGTGACATCCAAGATAGTCGTATGCCGAGAGGTAAACAATTTAATTTAGTAAGGCTACCAGAGTGGCCCGGGTCCACCTGCCTGGCCAGGCCAAAAAGAAAAAACAAAAAAAAACAAAAATTAAAAATTAAAATAAAAATTATTTTTTAAATTTTAATTTAAATTTTTATTTTAAATTTGGTAAAGAATTTCGATGTGACCCTGAGGCAAAAGTTGTTCAGTTTATTTTCTGCATAACGTAGGTTTTAAAAAAAAAAAATCGGTTTTTTTTTTTGTTTTTGTTTTTTTTCGGCTGGCCGGGCCGCCCGGGAAAATAGGGTGACCCGGACGGCCCGGCTGGTAGCCTAGGTAATTTACTAATTTAGGCAATTTTCTGCATTACCACCCGGGCCACCCGGGCCACCCAGGCCACCTTGTTTGCCCGCGCAGGCCGGCCACGCAAGGGGCAGGGAAAGTCCCTGTAAAAAACAAAAAACTATGTTGTGCAGAAAAATAAGCTGAAATCCAGCGGCCTAGTTCAGTTGGTTAGGCATGCAAGTGGCATTCAGGAGGTTGTGGGTTCGAGCCCCATGAACGCCTGCAGCGCACTTAGTGCCAACCCACTGTGATAGTCCTCTTGATACCTCTGATCGGTATTAGTAGGGTTTACGACCAACGCGGATGTGTGTTGTGAGTGGTGTGTGGGAGAGTAGATGGGAGGTGGGGGAAGTAGATGGGAGGTGCAGCTACTGGCAAAATGCTCGGTCTTTGCCTTAGCCAGCCCCCCCCCCAACAGGCGGTCCCACCCTACTCCCTGACCACCGCCGATTAGGACGGGG